GGATGCGGAATTGAGATCTGAGATGGTTCCGAAGACCGACATGATTGCCGGCGGATGGTCCCGAGACTAAGCGCCGGCCCGCCACGAGTCGGTACGTGCCAGGATGCTTGCCACACGCTCGCCTACGCGGCCTCATTTCAGCCCCACTGTGGCGACGACCGGCAATTCCGGCCGCGCATCGCCATTCTTTCTCATCCGCAATGCCCCGCCCCGCGAGGAGACACTGGACGCGCTCATATCATCGCTAACAGTTGAGCACGAGCGCAGCCAGCCATGCACGTTGGCGCCTGCCCGGCCCAACCGCTCGGCCCTTTCGCTCACCCTGGACGAGCACGTATCGAAGACGCGACACCAGCGTGTGTGGAAGAAGCAGCAGCTGCTGCGGCAGCAGCAGCAGATACTCGCGATGACCACCCAGCAGGCGAACATTGCTGCGGAGGTACACGCGCTACTCCAGCAACGGGCAAAGCGTCCCCGAAACGTGTGAGAGTTGAGAGGTAGCCGTGCGCTCGTGGGGCATGTGGGGTGCGTCTCTGTAGCACAAGCAATCGGTTGCGCACACCATGCCCCCCCTAGCGACATGGCGTAGAGCTCTCTCTAGTCGTGGGTGCGGCTCCTCCGGGCTGCACACCATACCAGCCCCTCCTTAGTTCCTCGAGTCGCGCCTCTACAGGCCAGCGGACCGTTTTGCTCGGTGAGCTGCTCGGTCGCAGGTAGCCCGACGCACCGCCGCGCGGCTAGCGCGCATTGGCAGAATGGGAGCAGTTCGAAGTAGCTCTGTCCCGTAATTCGTACTGTATTAGAAAATACGTCAAACACTTGAGTATTGCGGGGCAGACGAAGCGTCTAAGGGCAGACGCGTATTCAGTGCTGCGCGAGAATTACCTGAGCCCTGGTCTGACAGCCTGACAGCAAACCCCGGACAGCGCCTGACAGTGCCCGACAGCCTGACAGCGCTGACAGCACTTTCTCTGATAGTCTGACAGCACGTGTCTGACAGCCTGACAGCAGAGTCTGACAGGCGAGGGGTCCCGTCGCTGTCAGGCGCTAACGTGACAGCCTGACAGCTGCCTAACAGCCCGACAGCACACAGTGGCCTGACAGCAGCGCTGACAGCCCGACAGCAGCACAGACCGTACACAGACCCCGTAGAGCCTCTTTCTTGTGCCCCATGAGGGTATAACAAAATTACATGCAAAGACATGTGAGTGTGATCCATGTAGTCATGGGATGGTCATGGGTCTCTCTCTCAACCCTCCCGCCACCTCTGCGGTGTGCGGACCCCCCTCTCTCTAGCACCGGCGGCTGTGCTACTACAAATGAAGCTACCAGCTAGCCTTCTGGGGCCCTACAGTCATATGCCTACGGCGTCTGGGTGGGGGTGGCCGCCGCCGTCTGTGCCGCCGCCGCCGCCTGCGCCTGCGCCGCCATATGCGCTCCCCAGGCGGCCGCCGCCGCCGGCGTGATCACGCCGTAGGAGGCGGAGGCAGCTGCGTAGCCGCCGGCGTCATCGGCGTCAGCGCCCCCTTGATAGTCAGCGCCCTCTTGATAGTGTCATAACTGTGGCTGATGTGTGTCAGAGCCGAGTAATGGAGAAGTCTGGCCGCGCCTGACAGCACCCCGACAGCACCACCTGACAGCACCTGACAGCAACAGCCCAACATCTGACAGCAGCAGCAGCCTGACAGCTCTGACAGCTCCGACAGCGTCTGACAGCAACACCCGACAGCTCCGACAGCACCCGACAGCTACAGATCCCCTCGCCTGTCAGACACGCACCCGACAGCACCCGACAGCACTGACAGCACCTGACAGCTGGTCTGACAGAGGCACCTGAAGTGCCTGACAGCTGCCCGACAGACCGACAGATCACCTGACAGCACCTGACAGCCTGACAGCCAGGGCTCAGAGATGA